CCTGGTGCTGACATTTTTCACTCTAGTTTTAATGGTTTTTTTTTTTCTGGGTTATTTTAGAAATTGAAGGAGGAAGCCATGGACTCTATCCATCTTGGATCAAAGCAGAAAGATTTTTATAGAAATCCAGCCCTTAAGCTATAGCAACTGGATGAAGAAAGAAGTATTTTTGCTGCTCTTAACACTAAGATCTTAAAGGTTTAATGCCTTATTAAATGAGCTCCAAGACCTATTTATTTCATCTTTGACCCAGTAATTCCTCTATAGAGAACACTTTTCACCATTATACTAAATTTAGTATTGAATTTTAAATACTAAAAAGGTTTTATGTCTTCTGTGTTTAAAATGGTATAATTTAGAAAAAATAAAATCTAAGAGCAACCTAAATGTCCAACATAGATAAAGAGCGATAGCACAGAGGTAGGGTGTTTGCCTTGTGCACAGCCGGCCTGGCCGAGCCTGGTTTGATTCCTCCGCCCCTCTCGGAGAGCCCAGCAACCTACTGAGAGTATCTAGCCCACATGGCAAAGCCTGGCAAGCTACCCATGATGTATTCAACATGACAAACACAGTAACAACAAGTCTCACGATGGAGACATTACTGGGCCCACTCGAGCAAATCGATGAACAACGGGAGGACAGTGACACTGACAGTGACACTTATATTCAATTGGTTTGTCATCTCATTCAGAAATGAAAAGACCCTCTACTGGGGCAAAGGACAGTCTTACAAACAATGCTGGAAAAAGTGGATAGTCACATCAAATAAACGAAGTTGATAGGGCCAGACATGTAGCTCAATAGCTCAGCAGCAGAGCACTTACCTTGCATGTGCTGACACTCTGAATTTGATCCAGAGAACAAATAAATAAATAAATAAATAAATAAGAACTTGGACTCCTATCTCACTTGATATGAAAATTACATTTTGAAAATTATATATAAATATATAAAGAATATATATCAAGACCTTAACAGAGTTTGACTATAAAACTCTCAGACAAAAACATGGGGATAAATATTCATCACCTTGGGGGAGCCAGGGCAACAGTACAGGGGGCAGGGCATTTGCATTGCACACAGCCAACCCAGGCTTGATCCCTAGCATCCCATATGGTCCACAGAATACCACCAGCAGTAATTCCTGAGTGCAGAGCCAGGAGTAATACCTGAGCAGCACTGGGTTGACTCTCCCCTTCAAAAAAAAAATTCATAATCTTGCATTTGGCAGTGATTTAATTAGTCCAGTGAGTCTTGCTTTTTGGGGGTGGGGGGGAGGGAGTGGTTTTTTTTTTAGGGACTATGCCTGGTTGTGCTCATGGCTTATTCCTGGCAATGTGCCCAGGGATCACTCCTGGTAGGGCCCAGGGCACCATATGTGGTGCCAGGGAATGGAACCCATGTTGACTGGTGCAAAGCAAGCACCCTACCCACTGTACTCTCTCTGAGCACTCCAGACCCTTACACCAGAATTTTAGATCCTAGCTTCTTAAACTGGGATCATGTAACTGAACGTGTTTTGAGGGAGATCATGAACTATTTGGCAACAGTAAAAGGCTTCTGAATGTGCAATGACTACAACTTAATTCTAAATCAAACATAACGAATCTGAATTTTCAATCCTCACCTATGTTGCATTTCTCAGGGGAGAAGAGAATGCAAGAGAAAATGTCTTGAGGAGGGGAGGGTATTTATTTCAGTTTGGTTTTGGTTTGGGGCCACACCTAGCAAGTGTTCAGGGCTTTCTCCCAGCTCCACACTCAAGGATCACTCCTGGCAGTGTTCAAGGAATGGTACGGGGTGCCAGGGATAGGACCCAGGATACCATGTGTAAGGGAAGCACCCTACCTACCAACTATCATTAGAGTCAGGAAAAGTTTTTAAGTCCTAACTTAGATGACACTAAAGCACATGTACCAAAAGAATATATAAAAAGGAAGTCAACAAAACTAACTTTTTACACTTCAAAAAACAACACTGGAAAAAAAAATTTAAACTCTCAAAATGTGAAACTTTTACAAGTTTACTCTGAGAAAACTGTTATGTCACATATCTGTAATGATTTGTATTCATAATATAGAAAGAACTCATACAATTTTAAAACAAAAGTCAATTCTAATAAAATAAAACCAAAGGGGCTGGAGATATAGTACAAAAGGTAAGGTGCTTGCCTTGAATGCTGTTGACCCAGGTTTCATACCTGTACCACCTTTGGTCCCCAGAGTACCACCAGGAGAAATCCCTGAGCACAGAGCCACAAAAAGCCCCTGAGTGCCAACAAATCCCCCCCAAAAAATAAAATTAAAATTATTAAAGAGGTCATGAGTGCAGCTCAGAAGTAGAGCACTTGCCTGGCTTGTAAAGAGCAATCAGAAACCCTAGCTGGGCGGGACTGAATCCCCAGAAACACAAAACATAAAAATAAAAAAGGCAAGAGGGAAGGATGCACTAGGATGACTAAAATTAAAAAGATAATGTGTTAGTAAGTATATGGAGAAATCAAAACCCTCATATCCTGCTGGTGCAGGTCACTTTAAAAAAATCTGGCAGTTTCTCAAGATTAGCCATATACTTGCCTTGTAGATGGCTGACCCAGGTTCGACCCCCAGCACTATAAAGAGTCCCCAGAGCCACGCCAGGAATGATCCCTGAGCGCAGTCCGAGTAAGCCTGAGCACAAGCAGGTGTCACCCAAAAAGAGAAAAACAAGATTTGTTACTTTGTCATATTAACCAATAATTCCATTTCTATCTGTATTCCCAAAGAGAACTGACAGAGTCTACACATACACCACAAAAAAAGAACCCTGATACAATGACATTTACAGAATTATTCATAATCATCAAAAAGAGGAAACAACCCAAACACTGATAATGAAGATAAAAGAATGACAGCATATTTACACAACAGAATGTCATTTTGTTCATTTGGTCATAAAAAGGAAATCCTGGTACCTAATAAAACATGGATGAACTTTGCAGACATGCTTAGTGAAGATGGCAGATGCAAAAAAAGGTCATTATTATATAACTGTGGTTACATAAAATGTCCAAAATAGAAAAATCCAGAAACAAAAATCAGATTGGCTGTTAGGGATTGAGATGATTTAGAAGTAACTATAATTGAGTACTTCTTCTGATAAATCATCCTGTAAATATATTATGCTCCTGGGAATGCAACTTTGTGACTTCACTAATACAGTTTGGCATAATGACTATATACCACAGGATATACCACGGGCATCTGGTGTTGAAGATAGGTTTGGGACCAAAAAGATAGCACAGGAGCTTGCCTTGCATGCAGTCAACCCCATTCAATTCCCAGAATCACATATGGTCCCTCAGCACCACTAGGAGTGATCCCTACATCCAGAGCCAGGAATAAACCTTAAGCACAGGAGGGTATGGCCCCAAAACAAAACAAAAATGTACTTTAAGGTATGTGAAATATACCCCTTCCTCCCCCACTCCATGCAGTATATAAAATCTGTGTTTTACAAGGAGAGCATTCATGCAAAGCACCAGAGACTGAAACAGATGTCCAACAGCACTGTGTCTCATCCTTCACTTAAAAAAGGGCTTTAGGGGCTGGAAAGGTACAACAGAGGGAAAGATGTGCCTTCCACAAAGCCAACGAAGGTTTGATCCCTGGCATCCGAGCCAGCCACGAGCGATCCCTGTGGAGCCAGGAGTAACCTCGGAGCTCATGCAGGGTGTGCTCCCCCCTCGCCCCCCCCCCCAAAAATGTAAACCTTGAGTTCTAACAGACCGGGTGCCAGCAACATTGTTCAAAAGCCAGCTTGTGAACTACTACTGTCATTGCAACAATAACAACAAAGATGTGAAGATGGTGACTTGCATGGAATTTAAATATTACAGGGTATTTAGGGTCTGCTACAGAGGTCTGTTACAGAATATCCAAGGATACAGTGTCACCTCGGATACAATTACCAGGGCAGGATTACTTATAATCAGGTCTCACACATACCCTATGGCCTCCAGGAGGCTAGGCATATGCGAGGAAACTTGTGAGTACTGGAAATGCCTGGTCAGTGGAACTGCAGCACGGATATCTTTTTTCTCTTTTTTAGTATTTCTGTGTTTCCCTGATACTATTTAATAATGACACATAGCTCTTAAAGTGTGTGTGTGGGGGGGGGGGGGGGGGGGGTTGAAGTTTTATTTAAAAACAAACATGGAAATGATTAGACGCCCAAGGGTATAACAATTCCACGGCTCATTATTCAAGGATGTGCCACCAAGGGCCGCAAAATACCTTTTCTTTCCCTCCCAGGCCGGTGAGTCAAACCGCACGCCTTCCTTCCGGAAATAAGAATGTCTCTCTGTGCAGGGCATCCCCACCCCAGCGCCGCCCCCAGCTCCTTCTCCCTCCCACCTCCGCTCCAGGTGCAGCTTCCCGGTCTCCAAGGTGCTCTCCATCCCTCCCTCCTCCCGCCACCGGAATAAATGCATAAGTCCCGCCGGCCTCCCAGACCGGGAAGGGCGGCCCCGGTCCCCAGCGGGACCCTCGGGTCTCTAAGCTCCGACCAGGGCACTCCCGCGGTCCCCTAATACACACGCGCGCGCGCCCACACACACACACACACACACACACACCCGCACACATGCACACATACACATGCACGCACATACGCGCGCGCATATATGCACACATATACACACACGCATGTACACGCGCGCGTACGCGTCCACATGCGCGCGCACACACACAAACACACGCGCACACACACACTTCGCCGGGCGGGCACGCAGCCGCCACGCTGGAGCCAGGGCTGGGCACTGAGGCACGAGCCCCACCGGCGACGCGGGGCGCAGGCACACCCCACCCCGGCTCCCCTCAGGGCCGCCACGGCGCGTGCCGCGCGCCACCCGCCCCTGCCGGACGCGGCGTCCCCGCCAGCGCCGGGGGTGGTGGGAGTGGGCAAGGACACCGGCGGCGGCCGGCAGCCGCTCGGACAGCGTGAGAGAGAGGGACACTCACCCGCGTCAGCCCGGAGCCCTCACAACACCGGAAGTCGTCGCCCACCCGTTGCCACGGTGAGAAAGCGGCGCCGACGTCGCGCTCTCCCATTGGGCCTCGGTGTGGTGACGTAAGCGGAAGCAGCTGCCCCCCGCGCGCTCTCGCCCCGCCCTCGGCCCGGGGCGGCGCACCTGGCGGCGGGGTCCCAGGTTCCCGGGAGCAACGTGTCCGCCTCTTCTTACCTTGCAGAATGGGACCAATCGGAAAGGTTGCTGACCCGCGAAGCGACGCGGAATGAGATGGAAGTCGCCGGCATTTACGGAGCTGTCATATAAGAGCAGCTTCATTTCGTTTCATCGTTGCAGTTTCCACTGGAGGGTAGAGACATGCTTAGGCTCCGGAGAAGGAAGGTGTGGGTGGCCTTTAAAAAAAGAAAAGAAAAGAAAGAAAACTAACATCTAAGAGCCAGTGACTTTTCATTTTTAATGTAGCATCCATTTATGTTTCCTTATAACTACTAACATGAATCCTTTCACTTCTTCCACCTTCAATCCTATTTTGAGAGACCTGTGATGTAACTCGCTGGTAGAGCACTGATTTGCAGGGAATGAATCCAGTGGGAAGTGCTGGGTTCTCCCCCCTGCCCCACCACCCCAACCCCAAATTCTCGTGGGAGTAGAGATGGAAAGAATAGAGCACTAAGTAGTTCCTCCCAATGTGGTTCTCAGGTTAGCATCACCTCATCTTTTACTACAAATGCAAATTCTAACCAACACTTGTTTCTAATACACTTTAGATTTGAAAAACAAAACTGATTTAAAGAGATTTTTCAGATTAAAGAGGATTTACTCAGCCTTTTGTAGAGATAGGGTGGTGATGGGAATGGAATCCAGGTCAGCCTCGTGCAAGGCAAGTGCCTTGCACTGCTCTACTGACCTATTTAGAAAAACTTTAAAATGAAATAAATGTAGGTTCTTCTCTTGAACTGGATACCTAATACCAAGCATCTTATTTAATCTTTTCTAACTTCACCTATCTGGGTAATATTTAGATCAATGTATTATTTGAGAGTGAGCACGGTGAGCACGGTCCTCCCGTTGTTCATTGATTTGCTCGAGCGGGCCCAGTAACATCTCCATCATGAGACTTGTTACTGTGTTTGGCATATCGAATATGTCACGGGTAGCTTGCCAGGTTCTGCCGTGCGGGTGAGATACTCTCGGTAGCTTGCCGGGCTCTCCGAGATGGGCAGAGGAATCGAACTCAGGTCAGCCATGTTGGCCGCTTGTAAGGCAAACGCCCTACCGCTGTGGTATCACTCCAGCCCATTTGCCGTGACCGTATATATTTGAGAGTGATAGACATACTATCTATAAATATTTATATCCTGGCATTATAGTAAATGCAATAAGAACAAGTTTACAACTGAAAATATAGAAGAGGTAATATGAAAGAATGAGAAAGCACAAGAACAAGTAACAGAAGGGCAGGAAAGAAGAAACAAGCATTATATGCATTGCGAATCACACACACACAAATGTAAAAGACTAAAATGTTATCAAAGGGTGAAAGAAGAGGATGAGAAATAATGGGTGAATAGGCATCGAGACTTCATTTATACTGGTGATATGGGTGAGTAGTATAGTCATATATCCAAAACACAGACTCAACCCAACTGAAACATGAAATCTATATTGCATCCATTCAAACTTTGTAATGTGCCTGTAAAGATGGGGAGGGGGAGCTTGGAGTGGGGAGGGAATATAGGAACACTGGTGGAGGGAAGTTGACATAGGTGGTGGAATTGGTGTTGAAACACTATATGCCTAAAATGCAACTTCCAATTACTTTTTAAAGAACAGTTATTTAATTTTAAAAAAAAGACTGAATTCTAGGAACTAAAATAACTAAACTGATAGGACAAATAAATGAACAGAAACCTGACTGTGATATAATGAATCAAGGAGGCTCTGTGTCAATCTGTGAACTCTGGATTTAAGTCTGTAACCTTTGGCAGCTACTATTTTATTTTGAACAGTAATGACTGGGCAGACTTTTCCAATAAGTTGATGTGACATTTCTTATTCATGACTTGAAATCTAAAAGACATAACCAGAGGCTTGAGAGATACACTGGCAGGTAGAGCATTTGCCTTGCACACCACCCACCCAGGTTTGATCTCTGAGCACCACCAGAAGTAATTCCTGAGTGTAAAGCCAGGAGTAAACTCTGAGCATCAGTAGGCATGACCCAAAAAGCCTGAGAGGCATGGAGGGGTGGCAAGAATTATCTCCAGAGATCAAAGAACAAAGGAGAATGTAAAGTAGAACATCAATGCTAAGAAGGGCCCAGCTCTCCTGAGCTATTTACAGATAGCTGGAGGCTAGGGGTTAAGTTCTTATAGCCCGAAGATTATAAACCACCTTCAGGTAGACCATAAACAATAACTGGCAAACTGAGACTTCTCAGAGACCGCTCTTCAAGTCCATGTTTTCCCTCCAACACTTATCTCTGTCTATTTGCTTGCTTTTTTTTCTCTGAGAAGTCCATGTTCTCTCTTGAACTTGTACTTCCTCTTTTTCTCCCCCCACTCACATTTTCCTCAGTAAGTTTCATTCAGTGAAAACTATTTTAAAATAAAATTATGATAAATGAAATACTGGATAAATAATATGAAATAAATATTTCTTAAATATTTTTAAATAAATGAGGAAATAAGAATCCTGAAAAATAGCAAGATACGCAAAATAAAATCTGTTAAATATTTTAATTTTCATCTTTATTGATGGAGGTTCTATGTTTACTGTTATTGATTTCTCACATAATTCAAACACCACACCAATCACCAGTACACATTTCCTTCCCACAAGGACTCCAAGGCCTTTTCCCTATCAACTCCCTCTCCCACCAACTCAGTTGTGTGGATTAGTCCTTCCTTTGTGGTGCCATTAGCCCTTTGTTGCTACCTTGCTGTGTATCTTTACTCCCATGTATGAGAGAGATTATTCTGTCTGTCTCTTCCCTTCTGACTGACTTCACTCAGCATGATCCCCTCTAGTTCCATCCATGTTGCTGCAAATTGCATGATTTGGGGTTTTTTTTTTTTAATATTTATTAGTGAATTAGTCGCGGCCGCGCGACTTTTTATTTGCATTTATTTAATTTTTCAGGGTACTTTAAATATCCCACCCACATGGCAGATCCTGGCAAGCTATCCGTGGTCTATTTGATATGCTAAATCCAGTAAAAAAAAAAAAAATGGATCTCATTCCCCTGACCCTGAATACGGCAGAGTCGAGAAGGATGTGGAAGGAGAAGCTGATAAAATCCCAAGGCAGAAATAGGCTGCCAAAATGAAGAAAGACAAAAATGATTGTCTGTACTTTCAATGCATGTATGCTGGCATCTGATGCATCCATCAATGACTGATGGTACAAGCGCAAAAGATCAGATACGACATCATTGGTCTGACCGAAACGAGACAACATCAATCACATCACGCCGTTTTCGACACTGGAGCAGAACTGTTCCTTGGAACATGTGACAAAAGAGGCTTCGGTGGTGTCGGTGTCCTTGTCAACACAAACTTAGCCATGAGCATTGATTCATTCGAATGCATAACAACCCGAATAAGATGATTACACTTGAATAGATGTGGCTCACTGCCCGCAATTTCTATCATTGTTGTCTATGCACCAACATCCAACTATGGTGAAAGAGAAATTGAGAAGTTCTACATGGAGCTGGAGAATTTCAATAAAGAAGATCACACCTTCTACAAGATCATTGTTGGTGATTTTAATGCCAAGAGAGGACCAAGAAGATCAGCCGATGAACTCCACATCGGGACCCATGGCCTAGAATGAAATGAACAGGGTGACAGACTGTCTGAGTTCATCATGTCAACCAAGACCTTCCATGGTAACTCACAGTTCCAAAAGGCTGAATCTAAAAGTTGGACATGGGAGTCTCCCGGTGGACGGTTCCACAATGAAATAGACCACATAGCACAGCGATAGGGCGTTCACCTTACAAGCGGCCAACATGGCCGACCCGAGTTCGATTCCTCCGCCCCTCTCGGAGAGCCCAGCAAGCTACCGAGAGTATTCAATATGCCAAACACAGTAACAACAAAGTCTCCAATGGAGACGTTACTGGGCCCGCTCAAGCAAATCGACGATCAACGGGAGGGCTTTACCTTTACCTTTACCTTACATATTCAATCGGCAGTTTTGCCTAACCGATGTTGCTGTTGTCCCAAAATTCCAAACAGGATTGGACCACCATCTCCTTCGTGCAAAATTCTACCTCATAGAATGGGGAGAAAAGAATGCAAAGTTTAAGAAGAGAACTCCCAGAACGACCACCAACTGGGAGCTCTTTGGCTCTGTTGCGGCAACATGGGAAGATGCCGTCATTGACAACATTGATGAGGAATACGATCGAATGATTCAGCACTTCCATGATTGTGCGAGGAATGCCAAGAGAGAGATAACCACAAAAAAATGCCTTTCTTCGAACACTCTTGAACTTATTCGCCAACGTGGCTTGACACATGCCTCAGGCAACCGCAAGCAAACGTATGAGTTGGCAAAACAATGCAGAGAAGCCATCAAGGATGATCTCAAAAACAGGAGAACAGCGGTGCTGGTAGATGCGGTAGAAGCCGGGAAAAACATTTGTAATGCCCACCTGTCCTTCACCAACTACAAGACCAAGATGACTGCTCTCCGACATCCTGATGGATCTATCACATCTTCCAGAAGAGCAATGGAGAAGATTATTCATGACTTCTACTCAGATCTCTTTAATAGCCACGTCCACTTGCCCACATACCACATTCCACACGATGGATATATCATTCCCAATGTTCTCCCTTCCGAAATTCAACACGCCATCTCGTCAGTAAAGAAACAAAGAGCACCTGGCCCAGACAAGATCGGACCTGAACACCTGAAGAACTTACCATCAGTACTCATGAATACACTGGCTCAGCTATTCACACGCTACCTGTCTGAATGCAAGGTTCCATCCCAATGGAAAACCAGCAAGTCTGTACTACT